AGTAGACATTGAAACTGCAGGTGCAGGTATGGTATAAGGAAGTGCATTTCTAACCATATGCATATCCCCCAAGATAGACCCTGTGCCATTAAGGTTGGTTGTAATGATATTATCATAGCTAGTATCATGCATGTCAATTAGGCAATTTTAATGAGGTATCATAGCATTAAATGAAGAAAGAGAGAGTGTAGCATCATATCATGATACATATCATAATAAATGCTATGTTACTTTGTGTCATGCATGACAATAAATAAAGTATCATATGATACTAATATATGATACTATGCATTAGGAAGGTAGTATCATACACTAGTATCATATGCATGATACTAGTATATGATACTCCTATTACAACCAGCCTAACTTATTGCACATCACACCCATTACTACATTACCCTGGTTTCAGCGCCCTTGTGTCACATGTCGTGTGGCTTTTGTTGCCTCAAAGCTCAACCACAGTTAAGCTCCTTCATGGCGATAATCCACTTCTGAGCCCAGACTCAGCTGCACCATACTGACGAAAAACAAATCAAAACGAATACAAGAAAAATTCAAAATATTCTAATTTTTTTTGTTTGGTAGATAATTTGATGAGTGAGGTCCGCTCCAACTTTCAAGTCATTTGGACATCCGAGCAGCTCTCGGCAAAAAAAAACAAATTTAAGGACCTAAAAAAGTTTACTGTTCACGCATTGCTTTGACCCGATTTGTCTTTTTTTCTGAGAGCTACTTAGATGTCTAAATCATCTGAAAATTGGAGCGGACATCACGCAATAAATTTTCTACCACTCAATTTTTTTTTTGGATTTTTTGTGATTTTTTTGACCGGATGCGGATGAGTCTGGGTACCGAAACGATGCACTCCCTTTATGGTGTTCTCCTGTGTCTCCTCCCCTCTTTATTTTGCCCATAGTCTTATACTAAGGTTTGGTAAATTAGTAGAGTTGGCAGGAAGTTCTGTTAGCTGTACATGCTTATCAAGTATTGCCCATATTAATGTTTGATGGCCACCAATTTCCTGCAGACTCGACATCTGCTTTATCACATAAGGTTTCTGCTATCACGTTGTTGTGGAAATATTTTGTACTAACATATTTCAATGAGATTTGATTATATGAAACATAAATATCAGGAGTAATAACAATATGATACCTAAAATTGAAAAGAGAAAATACGTATAATTTATTGTGTCTAATTATTATCTAGTCATAAAATATCTATTAAATCAAAACACTATTGTAGAATGGAAATTCTCATGCATGTTTGCATGTTGAAGTGAGCTTTGTCCAATACACGGTTGCATGTTGTGGTGATCTTGCTTTGGTGTAACCGTTTCCTCAAATATATATAAAATCTATGACTTATTTGTGGTTGTGTGGTCGAACTAATTCCCCACTTAAATATTTCGAAGTGTGGTGCATAGAACATTTTGATTGGTGTATTTGAACCATGTGAATAATGCAAAGCATCCCTTGTATGTATGTAATATATACTTGTGAACATGGAGTTTGTGTGCTCGAGCTCATATGCACCCTTTGACATGTATGGATTTCTCGCCCAAAAAAATCGATGCTCCAAAAGGACTGTTTTGGGGAGCATTTTGGAGCATTGATTTTTATTTTTTGCCAAGTCTTGCATGAATGTCATTCCATCACTAAAATTTGCGTGCATGTGAAATACACATCAATGTTTGCCCCCCTCCCCCCCCCCTAAAAAACAGCTTTTAAAACTTGTCTAGTAGTTCTTTACTGTAGCAAAGAGTGCATGTGAGCTTGAGCTCAGAAGAGCACTTTCGGCAAGAAGCATCTATCAATAGTATTGAACTTCAGTACCACAACAATCATAGAGGTTCATAATTCAAGCTTGATATCTTGCGAAACTCTTTCAACCTTTGTAAGGAATTGTTTGTTAATTGGTATGTGTACTATTTTGTTACAAAATACAATTGTCTGATGTAGGAGAACCAAAAATTCTAGACTATGATAAATTTATCAGTGTATCAACGACCAATTGATAAACTACTAACTAGATGTGGATGCGGTAAACTAAAGAAAAAAGCGTGCCTTATAATAGGAAGGTCAAATAACCAAGCAAGGGAAATTAATAAGAGAAGTGCATAAGGTGATCTCTGTACTTTTGCTTTCAGTGGTCATAGAATTGTTGGAAGGTGATAGTGCTGGGGGACGTAGTAATTTCAAAAAAAAATCCTACGCACATGCAAGATCATGGTGATGCATAGCAACTAGAGGGGAGAGTGTCGTCTACATATCCTCGTAGACCGTAAGCGGAAGCGTTATGACAACGCGATTGATGTAGTCATACGTCTTCACGATCGACCGGTCCTCAGTACCGAACGTACGGCACCTCCGCGTTCAGCACACGTTCAGCTCGGTGACGTCCCGCGAACTCACGATCTAGTAGAGCTTCCGGGAAGAGTTTTGTCAGCACGACGGCGTGGTGACGGTGTTGATGAAGCTACCGACGTAGGGCTTCGCCTAAGCACCGCTACGATATGACCGAGGTGGATTATGATGGAGGGGGCACCGCACACAGCTAAGTGATCAATGATCAATTGTTGTGTCTCCAAGGGGTGCCCCCTCCCCGTATATAAAGGAGTGGAGGAGGGGGAGGGGCCCGGCCTCCTATGGCGCGCCCCATGAGGAGTCCTACTCCCACCGGGAGTAGGACTCCCTCCTTCCAAGTAGGAGTAGGAGAGGAGAAGGAAGGGAGAGAAGGATAGAAGGAAAGGGGGCGCCCCCCCCCCCCCTCCTTGTCCAATTCGGACTAGAGGGGCAGAGGGGGCGCAGCTGCCTTGGCCGCCCCTCCTCTTCTCCCACTAGGGCCCATTAGGCCCAATATACTCCCCGGGGGGTTCCAGTAACCCCTAGTACTCCAGTATATGTCTGAAACCTCCCGAAACACTTCCGTTGTCCGAACATAGTCGTCCAATATATTGATCTTTATGTCTCGACTATTTCGAGACTCCTCGTCATGTCTGTGATCATATCCAGGACTCCCAACTACCTTCGGTACATTAAAATACAAAAACTCATAATACCGATCGTCACAGAACTTTAAGCATGCGGACCCTACGGGTTCGAGAACTATGTAGACATGACCGAGACACATCTCCGGTCAATAACCAATAGCGGAACCTGGATGCTCATATTGGTTCCTACATATTCTAGAAGATCTTTATCGATCAAACCGCATAACAACATACGTTGTTCCCTTTGTCATCGGTATGTTACTTTCCCGAGATTCGACCGCCGGTATCTCAATACCTAGTTCAATATCGTTACCGACAAGTCTCTTTACTTGTTCCGCAATGCATCATCCCATAACTAACTCATTAGTCACATTGCTTGCAAGGCTTGTAGTGATGTGCATTACCGAGAAGGCTCTGAGATACCTCTCCGACAATCGGAGTGACAAATCCTATTCTCGGTCTATGCCAACTCAACGAACACCATCGGAGACACCTGTAGAGCACCTTTATAATCACCCAGTTACGTTGTGATGTTTGGTAGCACACAAAGTGTTCTTCCGGTAATCGGGAGTTGCATAATCTCATAGTCATAGGAACATGTATAAGTCATGAAGAAAGCAATAGCAGTAAACTAAACGATCAAGTGCTAATCTAACGGAATGGGTCATGTCAATCACATCATTCTCCTAATGATGTGATCCCATTAATCAAATGACAACTCATGTCTATGGCTAGGAAACTCAACCATCTTTGATCAACGAGCTAGTCAAATAGAGGCATACTAGTGACACTATGTTTGTCTATGTATTCACACATGTATTATGTTTCCGGTTAATACAATTGTAGCATGAATAATAAACATTTATCATGATATGAGGAAATAAATAATAACTTTGTTATTGCCTCTAGGGCATATTTCCTTCAGATAGTGTGTAGAGTTGCAGCATGTGTTTTTTTTCCTTTCTTTCTTTCAATTTGTAGAAAAACGAATTAAAAAAAGTTCAATTTCTTCGCAAAAGAATTACAAATAGTATTCGAAAAAGTAAATATTTTTTGAAAACTTCAAATATAATTTGAAAACACGAAAATTTTAAAATGCAATCATTTTTTCAAAAAGTTTAACATTGTTTCGAAAAGGTGAGCATTTTTTCAGATTGCATACATTTTTAAAAAGGGAGCATTTTTCCAAATATGTGAACATTTTTCAAAAGTTGAAAGTTTTTGAAAACACAAAATTGTTTCAGATGTGCGAAGGGAATATTTTTCAAATTTGTGAATCTTTTTTGAAAACTTGTAAAGGAATTAGAATGCAAACTTTTTTGAGTTTCCTAACAAATTTTGGAACAAGGAACTTTTTTTGAAATTCCGAAACATTTTTGAATTTGTCAATAAAAAAGGTTTTGTGAATAATATTTAAAAATATGAACTTTTTGGAAAATCCCATTTTTTAAATAAGTTTTTTTGAAATTCTAAACAATTGAAAAATATCTGAACTCTTTTTAAGAGGGAACTTTTTTTAATAGAAAGAAAAAAAGTAAAATAACCTAAAGGATTTTTTTAAAGCGGACCTGAACTTGTCAGGACCTTTAACCTTCTAGAAGGTCCTAGAACCGGAGCCAGCTCCAATTTTCCTAGCAAATGGGCTGGCCCTGGTCGATGACACAGAAACGCCCAATTCCCGGATTCGTCTGTCTTGGGCTGGCCTTTCAATCTGAGCGAAATCAGTTCTCCATAAAAACTGATTTTCTGGCTAAAAAAACTCCCTAAAAACTGTCCTTCTCGCCTGATTTTCTGGCTGGAGTGGACGAGCTGAGCTTACCGTGGACCGATTTTTCCCTTGGCTACAACGAGTCAACGACGTGCCATCAGTTCTAAAATTCCTGGGCTGACCGGTGACTGTGAGCACACACCAGCCATTGCCTCCCCACCTCCACATACCACTGCGTTAATCCTCAATCCTTTCCACCCGCGCCTTCAACCTTCAAAGCACCTTGCCCCAAAAAAATCCATGGCTGCCAAGGTCACCTCATCCTCATGCTTTGCTTTCCTAAAGGAAGCGCTGATCCTGCCCACGCTAAACCCCAAGCTCTTCGCGCCGGTGCTCCTCCTCTTTGCCATCACCGCCTTCCTTGACTCCTTGGACGATGTCGTGTTCGTCCAGCCTCTCGTCGACGACATGGGCAGCCGTCTCATCGCGGTCAACAGCACCGACCCCTTGGGCGCCGAGTACACCAAGCTCACGGAGGAGACAGAGCCAGGCGGTAGCGGTACAAAGCTCCTCCTCATCACCATCGCCCAGCTGGTCGTCGGTGGTCTGGCGCTCGGCCTCGTCAAGCAGATCCTCGCCCTCTTCGCAGCCTCCACGACCTACTCCGGCGACCGCTACTCGCTAGCAGAGCTCCTGCGTGAGCTGGTCAAGGGGAGGATCAGCGTGAAGGGCCCTTCCGTCACCATCGCCGTCGTCGACGCGCTTGACTTCGCATCGGCGGTCCTGGCCGCGCTGATTCCCACTCCCGCCCTGATGGGCGGGCTCTCGGGGGTGCTCTCCGTCCAGGGTCTCGTCTCCCACCTCGCGAACCACGTCTCCCTCTGCTTCACCGTCGTCGCGCTGGTGGGCGTCACCGCGTCGGCGGTCGACAGGAGGTGCAGCGGCGTGCGCGCGCTCCGGCAGGCGTGGCGGCTCGTGACGCGGGTGAGGAGGAAGGAGGGACTCGTGCTGGTGCTCATGGCATACCTCGGGCCTACCGCCGTGACTCCGCTGCACGGGTTCGCTCTTGGGTATGCCAAGAGGAGCACGGCGGCGTGCTTGTGCTTGCTGGCGGTGTATGGCCTTCTGTCTGGCGCGCAGGAGCTCTTCTCCTTGGCGGCGACCACGGTGTACTACTACCAAGCCATGGAGAGCAAGGAGGTGATCGATGCCTTGTGCTTACTAGTAAGCGTGCATGTGTAACACACGTATAATCATAGCTAAGAATTTCCTCCTTCGTCACAATTAGGAGACAATTATTTAAATAAAATAAGAAATCTCGTAATCATATGTATATGTCACATATCAACAGCAATCAATTGGTTGAACTTCTCCATAGAGAAGATAGAGGCATAGGCTATTTAGTCTAGTATATAGTAAAAAAGGAGTCAAATATCTTAGAATGTCTATTTTATAATGCAGAATTGTCCAAATGAACATGGCCGAGATGCAAACTTGGAACAAAATTGTAAAGTTTCTGAGAGGTATAACTCAGAAAGGCCATATACTGTCGCATGGGGTAAACACTGGCTTTTAAAGCATTGAAAAAAAAGTACAATCATAATATTATTCTTCATAGTTATTACATGATGGACAACAAATTTTCCCAAAAATATAAGGAAAAAAGGGTAATATATTATCCGATTTAAGAACAAACACATGTTATACATGCATGAGAATAACGCCAGATTGACAAATAAACTTCAATCTTAACAAGTAGAACAATGTCACATGAAGGCTTTGAATACTACATGAATCATCATTTATAATTGTGAGGGGCCACGAAACAACTCAGCAATCTAACTGATCACAATGTCATTGAATTTTACACATGGAAGCATTGGACATAGTGCTTTTAAAGGCAATGCCTTCATCTTGGTAGAGTCCCCGTTGATCGATAATGACACATAAAGTGCATCACCTTAATACAGGTGTTGTTGTGCTAACAATAGCTCCTTTCCTGAAAGGAGAATATGAGATACCATACAAATCACTATCTAACAATAGCACACTTATGAAAAGTTGGACCATCTCAAGGTTTTCTTCAAGCTCTGCACCAATACTTCTTACCGAAAAAGAATCAGACACGCCTACTTAAGTATATTATCATAGCAAAAACCTGTTCTAAAATGATACCATGAATCCAGTGAATCCACAATGAATCTTTGAACTAATATTTCAACATGGTTTGGGATTGTGCAATGGAATAAGGATAGGTTAATCTTAAGGCCCATGAAAATATTCATAGTGAATTAACCTACAAAATATATAGTAAGACAAGAGTGAACTAAAATTGATTGCAGAATAGTAGGATGCTGGTTTAGTTCCAATAAAATTCGTTGCAGATTAGTAGGAAAATTTCCTCCAATTGTGGCATGATCTTGAGAAGGAGCATCAACGCAATTGCACGTACCTAATGCTCAACCACTGAATCTTCCTTCAACTATTTTCATGCCCACATACATGCCCACCTGCACCGTGAAACTCAATCAACTGAACAAAAGCTATAATGTAAACAAATTAATTTCACCTCTTTATTTGTAAGTCTGTCCTCTTGTTTAGCATACTAAACTTTCCTTTCTCTAAAAGAAAATTTTCATACACAATATGTACACAAAAATAAAAACAATAGCTCCAGTTCATGACAGGTAGATAGTTTGGTAGACAAAAACTCTTATGACATGGATCATAATATAATTTGTGGAAATGTATGTATGTTTGTCTTTAAGTAGATTCAAGGTCTTAGCTCAGAGAAAATAAGAATCAGAAAAGAAATTTTTCAAGGGTTCTACATTCGACACGGCTGCAAAAACTTCAGTTAGTACATGGTATACATGGCATAAATTTCTTCCAATTTATCACATACCTATAATTGCAAGTCAATCAAAACAGTGCTTCGCATGCATATACTGCAACATAGCATTAACCATGTGATTGCATATAAATCAGGCTTGCCTGAATAAAACAAAAGAATTCACTCGTAAAAAATCAGATTGCCATATGAAGTTATTAACATCCACTTTCTCACCACTCAAATGCACCCTCTAGGAGCAGTGGCGCATAAACTGAATCCGTGCAAGACGGGAACTGAATCCCTAGCACAAGAATATTAGTTCTGCACAGCAAGAAAAATAACCTCACAAAATACAATAAAAAACTAAATCCACGTTAAAAGAAAATCTAAACTGAATGCCGTGCAGAACAGGCCACATCTGGTCAAAATAGAGGACCGAATCAACAAGACAGAAGGTTAATATATAAGGGGGAAGAATGAAGTGGGTGGATCAACTAATAGGAATAGAGAAATCAGCGTCTGGGGGCATCAACTGCAAGGAGTCAATGGCGGGGGAGGCGGAACATTTGTGATATTTCTTAGGCCACAGAAAGTGTCTGAGACCAATTAAGTAATTCCCAATAACAAAGATGAGGTGAACCTGAAGGATCATCACTTCAATTTTGGCCACCGCATTGTATGTGATCCCTTCATTCGAGCATGGTGGATTGGTGCAGACGCTCCTCCGAGTCAACAAAAACTGCATTCGCTTTAGTAAGGGGATACTCTCTGATCCAAAATAAGTGTCACAGTTTTGAACTAAGGTTAGTTCAATCTTAGTTCAAAACTGTGACACTTATTATGAATTGGAGGGAGTACATGATTAATGGTGGATCAAATACTGATCTCTATGTTTCAAGTACATGCCACAACTCCTTGGATCTAGTGGTGTGTAAAAAAATAATTTGCTATACATTGACTTTGTAAATGATGTTTCCTGTCTCCAAACTTTTTTTGCCATGACCGACATGGAAGGAACATGGCATTTTATCCAGTACCAAATATTAGCAATGTAAGCAGCAAAACTCCAAAACTACGAAGCATTCATTGCCCCACAACATAGACACTGATTCTCAAGAGATAGTGAGATCGAATTTCTGCAACCAACCAAATTTAACTATTTAAGCACGAGGTCACAATCGAAAAATGCAATGCTAGTCAACCAAAAAGAGTAAACTTAGGATTGCGAGTGTATAGGGAAAATAATAAGCAGTACACGACAGCTGTCAAATCAACATCCCATTTTAAAATTTCTAGCAATGCTTTTCATGTAATCTATTCATATATAGAGTACATATGAGCCTATAAAGACATCCTGCCATATGTCATGATTACTAATTACGAACAAATTTTGGAAGCAACTAAAACCAACCTTCGAGCTAAGATTACAAACATGAGAAAGTAAAAAAGAAAGAAAAACATGTACTCTAGCACCATGAATCCAGAACAAGAACACACACATATATATGCCCACAAAGAAAAAGGAAATAGTGAATGCCCTGCATAACACGAAAACATATGCTCAAAATAAAGATCCAAATCAACAAGACAGTGGCTGAATAAATCGAGGGAAAACGGGGACTCGGTTTGTTAGGTGTTTAAACGGGAATGGGTACCCAGATGGATTATCATTCTTCATCTGCCGTTAGGAAACTTGAAATATGCTGCAGTCTGTTATATATGTATGTTTGCTGAAATGTGTTGGGGATCCACAGTGCTCCATATGAGAGACCTGGTGGTAGACTGAAATTAGTATGAAGGCGCCCAATTCTATCACTACTTCACCAATTTTTATTAGGAGGCATGTAGTTCAGCCAAATGAGTTAACACCCTTTGTTAGTCAGATGGATATGCTCCAGTCTAGGATGGCATTAGCTAAGAAGACGTGGTATAGCAAAAAAAAACATGGACAATCAATGCAACTTCTCCAGTCGAGAGGACCTAGGTATAGATAATAGCAAAACCCATGCCTCTAAAAAATTAGCAAGATCACATGTACTGGGTGAATAATATCAATGTTTCTCAACATAAGTACAGAAAAAATATACATATGTTTTTGTATATCTTTTTTGCTAATTATATGCAAGCCTATATATTTGCATTGGGTGCATGTCCAGTTTATTAATCACAACAGCATGTAAGTAGGCCAAATGAAACTGTCATGTGGAATGCAATGCATACAACTCTATCCATTCGCTTACCAGATTCTAAACTGCACTAAAATGTGCAGGGTAAAAGATTATTAAATCATGCTTTGCATCATCACAAAAAATCTTTTTGTAGTACCTTACGAATACGCAATGCATAAAAATGATGAAGCACGTGAGAATACCATTGCAATTAATTTTATTTGAACAGAAATAAAGATCCCCAACTTGCACTATGGTTCCAAACATTGAGGTCCCAAAGAGGAAGATTTTGGCCCAATCCTCCACCTCGTATGCCAAACTGATTCGAGTACAAACTGAAGTATTGTATCTCTAGCACAATCAACAGCTAATACCAAATATTGAACTACAGAGTCAGAGTGCTAAACCAAAAATTAGTGCATGTCTGCAGCTGCACAATTTCCAAACAAATATATGGTGCAGCAATGAGTTACCTTGTTGCTGCTGAACTATGCGTATTTGTTCACGGAGCATTGTGGCAGCTTTCTGTCTAGCATACGTGATGCATAGCAGTACGCCATTACACAAGAACCAGAGCTGGAATTTACATGACCCCATTACTCTCTAGATCTAGGCAATGGCTCATATAAGTGTGCAATTCCTGAGAAAGTTCAGTTAAGAAAATGAAAGTTCAGGAGCATGTTAACTAAAATCTGAGAAAGCAGCTTGAAGCAGAGGAAATATCATGAGAGCTTGATTAACATTGTTCTCCACAAGTCGACTACTTCTTTTCTTCAGTGTTGAGCTCCTATATGAAATATCTTATAAAGCATTGCAGGCTAGAAAATATGTAATACACACTGGAAGAATAAAAAGAATGTACCTTGAGGCTCTTCTCATCCTTTTCTGGAATAGCTCTTCTCATCTTTTTCTGGAATAGCTCTTCTCATCCTTTTCTCGAATAGCTTTCTTTTTAGCATAGTGCTTACCCAATGTTCTAGAAAATTCACTGATAACAGGAACAATAAAGATTACATTGCATCAAAGAAACAAAAAAAATGCAGCCAAGTAATTCTAGCATTGTACTACTTGACTATTCAACATGCCTTTATATCAACCTACACTTGTGCCCCACTAAAAATCCTTTGAAAACCACCATTTCAATCTAGTATTGGGATAAAATAAAAGATCGAATATAATCGCTCAACAGCAACATACACATGCAAAGTTGAGTTGATGTAATCGGATTTTTGGATGAGTCAACCTGAAGACTAACTATATTTATCAGTCAAATCAAGCTCTAATCCTTAATCAGAATGAAGATGAAGCGACCGGCCGCGTGAAGTCGGGTGAGACGATTGAGCGAGGAGAGGAAACTTACTGGCTTCTCTGCTATCAGATCAGGTCGTCGACGTCCGTTGCACAACAGAGGAGGAGATAATGAATCTAACCTAGGAATGTATAATATAATATAACAAATATCCTATATGCTTTTGTTTCTTTTATTTTGTTTACATATTTTCTCATTTCCTACGTTGCACCGATACGGCGACACCGATACGGCGATACGGGATACGGCAATTTCTAGAAACAGCAATATGCGATATGGCAAGTACATATAAATAATTAATAAAATTACATGTAATAAAAACAAAAATAATAAAATGTGTGAGATGAGATCAAAATACCACCCCATTGGTTGCCTGACTGCCTCTTTTCTTTTCTAGTCTTGAATGATCATCCAGGTCCTCAACTCCTCATGGTGTATGCAAAATAGAAAATACATCACATGATATTAGACTTGACAATAAATCATGACAAGTGGAAAGCAGTAAACAGGTTGGCTTGTAGCATACCAGATGAATATATTTCCAAACTTCCAAGTTCCAACAAGTTTCAATTCTGAATTCTCAATGGCCATAGAGAAACAATGCAAAAGTTCACGAAGATAACATGATAAATAGGAAGATCCATATTCAAACAATCCATAATTGTGCATTACAACATAACAATAGGAAGATACAAGGCTCAGGTGGCCATAGATCCAAGTTCAAGCAGTGCATAATTGTGCATTACAACATAACAACAACATAAACTAAACGAGACAGCTCAAGTGAGAGCATCCATAATCTCAGCCTCCCGTTCGGGTTCATCAAG